CAAAAGCAAGTGCTGGTAGAAGCCTTCTACCTTAAGAGCATGCCCTGATGCAGGAAATTGAATGGGGACCTTGCACTTAGTGTCAGCAAGACAAGAGAATCCCTGCTAGGATCCCGAGTTTCTTCTGCATGTACTAAGGGGTGCCAGGGTATGAGAGCTGGTAAATTATGCTGCGTGCTGTCGGACAAGGCTTCTTCGCCCTTGCTTTGCACCAACCCATTGCCAGTCAGAGGCTAAGCCAGTTTACGGGGCCAGTCTAATCCTTGGCCTCTCTGTTGGCTAAATGGACATGAGGCTACTAAATATTGATAGTAGTGATAGGTTTGTGTGACACATGCACTTGCTGGTCATACACTATGTAATTTTCCTAGTTTTCACTGCAGACCGTGCAGCTGTCGCTGGTTTTGGTCAGTATGAACAAGCTGCCATTAGAGATACTGTTTTCCTAGAGTGCCACACTACTTCGGTGGGAAGGACAGGGAGAGATACCCGGTGACTTTGGCTGTGGTGTCCTTTGGGGAAACTCTCAAGCTAGGCTAGCGAGAGTGACTCAGAAAGCTCTGTTTGCATAACATTGATTTCTTCCGCATATGACACAGAACATGCCCTAATATGCCTGCCTTGTTCCAGACTCAATTGTTTGTCTCGAGATGTTACGTTTACCTCAGCTGAGATTCTGTTCAATTCTCACTCCCTTGCGTGGGCAAAAGCCTCGGCTGATGTAAGACAACCCAGGTCCAGTTTCGAGCCTTTCCTTCTTACTGTGTTGAACTGCACGGGATTTTTTAATGAAAGATCGCACTGTGTTTTACAAAGGTAGCTAAATACTGTTATTTTAATTTTACAGGTGGTAAAGCAGCCTCATAAGGAGTCCGTGTGACCTGACCAAGATCAGCCAGAAAGCTGACGGCAGAACTGGTAAGAGAAAGCTGATCTCCTAATGCGCTGTGCTGTGCTCCGAGCTACAGGCCTGCCCATGGCCATTGACATTGGCCACACGCTCAGTATTTCATTGCACAAGTATATTTCACTGGTTATTATAACCTGGATCAATGTGTGTATCTTTCCGTATGTGTTTTAAAAAAGCAGTCATTATTGGAGGCTTTAACTGGGAATCACTAGCCGACTGTCAGATAATGTAACAAAAAATATCTCCCCAAACCAATCACATAACACTAAAAATTAACGTTTACTCAGTGCATAAGAGAAAACTGACAAAATACTTAACAGCTTGACCAAGATAGCATATCCACTAAACTCTATTCTCTGCCATGACTTAGTAGCTAGATCTGCTCCTAGTAACCTAGGGTCCAAAGCATATCCAGAAGGCTGACTGAACTTCATAATTCTTTGGCTTTCATGTTCCTTGAATAAGGACTAAGAGAGTCCCTAGCCCTGAACCCAGCCTCAGGAGAGCAGAAATAGGGGGACAAATTGCAGGTAGGTGTCAGGGATTCATGTCGTTAAGAGAGGCAGAAAATGATGCTTAAACTACAACGTCTGTTGCATTGCTTGCTGCACAACCCTGAGTGTATGCCCATGATCTGCCAGTCCTGTTCCCACTAAGGTACATTGTCTAATTTAAAAGACTTTTCAGGGATGATTATTATCCCATGAAACCTGTATTCTTAGGCTAAGTGTACATGCTGCAAAACAAAGCAAAAATTCTCATTAATGTCTGCAGCCAAGTTCGTAGTTGGAAGGCCCCTGCAAGGTTTACGGCAGGGCATATATGAATCCAGATGAAATACTCTAACCGGAGTGACCGAAGATAACTTGTTTGTAGTTATACAATAGATGGAAAAGTTCTTGTAGGAAGTAAGGTACTTGAGTGATTTGACGTAAGCATTAATTGCTTACCAAAGAATTACGACCTTCTGTCACTTGCCAGCTTCTTAATTACATGCACCGTTTGTATGTGCGTGTTTACACAGATACATGTATATATATACGTGAGCATGTATACACAATAGGTTCATCATGTAGAGGAGCTAATGTGTGAAAAGGGAACAGGAGAGCTCCCGGTGTAGAGATGACTGCTCTGTCTTGATCCTGTCAGTTCTGGTGTGGTTTGCTTATTAACTAGCTTACTGTCTAGATTTTTTGCCATAATTAAAGCAAAACTACCACACGGCAGAGGAGTATTTTTTTTCTGAATCTTGAGGGGGTCGTTAAGACATATTTTTTGCTATAGTTCATATCTGGTCTTTTTCTGCATGAGTTTGATATGAACAGCTTTCTGATATGTCTCAATACTGAGTTACACGTCGTCCCAAATGCATCCTGATATTGGCAGTACAACACTGACACATCAGTGCAATGTAGGCATATATAATTCATCTATCACCAAAAAATAATTAATGGAAAATAATTTTCTTAAAATGATTTAGGGAGACTGTAAAAGTGGAATTGAAATAGGACTGTTTTGTAGTCTTTCACCTGAAAGGCTGTTAATGCCAGGCTAGTACCCAGAAAGAACGAAGATAAAATGCAATTAATGTATTTTCAGAAAATCTTGTAATAACCTGAAGTACTTGTTTTCTGTATACAAAGAGATCTCCATTCTGAAGTGCAGTATTCACGATCTATCTAGGGACCTAGATAACCACCTTTTTCTATAAAGAGCCTGTTTGTATTCTCAAGATATTAAACAGCTCATGGATATAGCTCTAATGGTTCTGGACACTGGGCCACTGACATTTTTGCTTTGGAAACCCCACATTTTGAGAAAAAAATAATATTTCGAGCAGGTTGGTTTTTAAAATTGTCATCTATCTGAAGTGGCTCAGAGTCGGAGTGTTGGACGAACTCTGGGCTGTGATCGTACAGCAGGTAAGGGGGATGCAAAGGAACTTGCTGTTACAAAGCATTTACCTAATTCTCTGTTTACTTGGACAATGGAAGAGTGAAAAAAATGTGTATTTGAATTTTGAGCTTAGTCCTCTCCTCGTGTTTTGTGAGCTCAAGTCACAAAGCCACTGGAGTGACAGAGCTCACGCTACCTTCCACGGCAGCAGGATCAGGCCCTCAGATGCTCGCTGTTTCCTATTCTGCTGCAATTTTTTCCCAGTTCTCTGACCTGCTCTTGCCTAGCACAGACCTGCAAGTTGTGCGACCTGTCTTGTTACGGGCTCACTTCTCACAGCTGTTGGAGCCCCATACAAAGGTGAACAATGTGAAGTTGGGTCCAAATTTTTTAAATGAACAGAGAAAGCTTTGATTGCACAAAGTCAAAACGTTCTTGCGCCTTGGTGCATACACACTCAAATGCCATCACAGTATGAATCAAATATGGTGGGTCACAGCTGAGCCTCTCTAATACAATAACACTTAGCAGTTACAAAGCCCTTGTCCTTCTCAAAGCATTTTATAAACGCAATCCAGCTGACATCTGTTCCCACATCCTGAGATGGTTCAATCTTCATTCCCTGGCTGGGGAAACTGAGGTGTGAGCCCCCCAAAGCCCCGACACAAACTGGTAGCAAAGCCGAGAGCAAAATCTGTCCCCGGCCTTCTCCCCGGGACACCATGAGGCACCGCAAGGTGCTGGGGCCGGCAGGCATGGAGCTGTGGCTTTGGTGACATGGGATGCTGACATCCTCTGCACCAGCAGCAGCCTCTGCGATCCTCTGGTCCACATCTGCCATGCCTCCAAAGACTCTGGAGCCCTTCCTCTGGACTTGTGTACCACTAGCTTAATTCCTCCCAGGGAGAGCTGGCTGTCCTTCCGCAGCTGCCTTTGTAAGGTGTCTGAATGTCAAACTGTTATTATTTCAATACCTGACTGCGAGAGTAACAGAGACCTGGAGGTTTTTTAGGAGGGTGTATAATTAGCCGATCAGTATTATGTTACCCTGTTCATAACTTAATAACCATTTTAATACAGATGGCACACACAGGGATAATTTCCTAGGGTAGCCTAGCAGTATATTACAGAGACAGTGTGTCTGAGGGAATCTTCCTTAGCCAAGGTACATTCTACCAGCTAATTCTACCTGCTGTTTTCAAGATGATTTGGGATAATTCCATATCATTTGCAAAATATTAAAACCCATTTATATAGGATGCCAGATTTAGAAATACACAGCCTGAGTTATTAGACATATTTTGATAAATCTGCCATGTAAAGCGCAAGACAAAAAATACCACTGTGTTTTCCCTGCTGTTTATTTTTTTGCTTCCCTTGCTATAAATACACCAGGTTTTAAAAAGATCTGGCTAAACTTGCTGTATATCAAGAGGACCGATATACTGACTTGGGCGATTTTTTCTATGCCGGCACTGCAGAAGTCTGCTTGCATATTTACGCACACCCTGTGTACATTTATTTGGATGGGGAGCTCTGTATATTTGGGACTGCATGCAGAATTTCATGGATTCTTACTCTTACTGTGTCGGTGCGGTACTTTGTGCCTACATAGGCACCCTTGGTAAACATTGCTGTGTTCCTAGGGACTGCGGGCGAGGTGTGTGCAGCCGCGTCGCACGGCAGCAGTGCAGTGACTCAGTGTGCGGGGCAGTGTCCTGCGTGTCACCAAGGTGTGAGGACCTGCAGCCTGGGGTGGACGGATGGCTGTGCGGGGTTTGTACAGCCCGCGGGATGTGCGCTGGGCTAACGCTCCTCTACCCGCATCACTGGCCTTTCCCCCCCGATCTGCCACTGTTTGCCCGTCGTGCGGTTCCTTCCCACACCCCGAGGCCCTCCACCGACAGAAGCCGTTCCCCAGCGGCTGGGGGAGGAGGAGGAGGAGAAGGAAAGACCCCGCCACCGCCCAGCCGCGGAGCGGGGAGCCCGGCCCGGGGGCAGCCTCCGGCGGCCGAGGCTGCGGGCAGGGGCTGGCTTCTGCTCGGAGCCTCGGCGCCTGGCGGGGCTGCTGGCGGCTCCCCCGGGGGCACGGAGGTAAAACCGTCCAGACGCCCCCGGGGCTTGCACACAGACCGAGCCCCGCGCCCCGGCCGGCTCCCGGTCCCGGTCCCGGTGCCTGCAGGCTCGCCCTTACCTGTTTATGGAGGAGACGCTGGGGACCGTGTCGTTGTCGCAGATGCCCTCGGCCAGTAGTCTGTCCCGGATCTCCCAGGCGAACATGGTCGGGTTCTGTCTCTTGTACTCGGCGATTTTATCCACTACTTTGGGGGTCGCTACTTTAGGTTTGGATCCGCCGATCACTCCGGGCTTGATGCTCCCCGTCTCGTAATACCTGCCGCGCCAGAGCACGACGGTCGGTCAGTGCCCGGCCGGGCCCCCCGCCGCCCCCAGAGCCCCCTGCCCCGGCGCGACCGCTGCCCCGCGACCTCCCCCCGGCAACCGCCCCCCGCCTTTGGGTTGCCGGTGGGGGCACCAAGGGGCTATACCGGGCTGTACTGGGTTGTACTGGACTCTACCGGGCTGTACCGGGCTGCGGCAGCCGCCGCTCCCGTGCGGTGCTCACCCCCCAGTTTTTTTCCTTTCCCTTTGGGTGCGTGTTGGCTGGTGTCTGGGGGAGCGCTGCGCTCCTGCTGCTTTCCCCGCGGGCGCTTCTTTCGGGCCCGAGCATAGGCAAGCCTCGCCGCGCTGCGGCCCGCCGGGGACAAGCCCACCGACCCCGGGGCCGGGTCGGGCGGCCTCGGAGGGGCCGGGGGGCGCGGGCAGAGCCGGGCAGAGCCGTGCTCGCGGTTCCCCAGCGGGCTCCCGGCCCCCCGGCGGCCCTGGCACGTCCTTCGCGAAGGGCACGGCGGCGGCAGGCAGCCCGCCCACCGGCACCGCCGGCGCGGCCGCCGGGGATGCTTCGCACCGCATCTTTGTTTATGGAGATTTATCTGTTTGCCCCGCTGTTTGTTTATTTACCGTGCATTTGCTAGGGCCGCCTACGGATTGTTGTGAGATGGGCTTTTTTGTTGTTGTTGCTTTTTTTTTTCTTTTTTTGCTTTTTTCTTGGGGGGTGGGGAGGAGGAGGTCGTTCTCCTATGGTGTTTTTCTTTTCTTTTTTCCCCCTCCCTGGCCCTTCTCTCGCGAACCGATCCCTTCCCGCAGCTCCCGCACGCCGCCCGGCCGGCGGGGCAGCGCGTCCTGCCGCTGTGACGGGGGCGGTGGCGGGCAGGGGGCGGTGGGCAGCAGGGAGCGGGCATCGCCGCGGTAAGGGCCGGGGGGGCACAGAGCGGCGCAGCGCGGCGCCCGGAGGCACGCTGCCGCCCCAGGGGAGGGGAAGGAGCGGCTGCGGTCCGTTCCTTACCTGCCCAGGATCTTGCTGACACAACCGTGGCTGACCCGCAGCTGCCTGGAAATGTCACAGGGTCGCACCCCCTGGTGAGCCAGCTCCACTATCCTTTGTCTCACCACGTCAGGTAGGGGCCTGCCGTTCACAAACACCCCCCCGAGCTGGTTCACACCCCCGTGCCCTGCTGGGGAAAGAGAAAGAAAAAAAACACAACAACCCACGCACACCAGAAACACACCGTTAGTCGTGGGTTCTTTGCCACTCGGACTGCAAAATCTCCCGTCACTACAGATGGATTGGGGGTGACGGGTGAGGGACTAGGGGGGTCGAGACGTGGGAGAGAGACAGAAAAAGGAAAGGAGACGGGGAGGGAAAGAAAGAACAAGAGAGAGAAACAGAACGAGAGAAGGAGAGGAAAGAGAGAGGGGGAAGAAAGAAAAAGAGAAAGAAATGAAAGAAGGAAGGGAAGAGAAAGAAAGAGAGAGAGAGAAAGAAAAGAAGAAGCGGAGCGGGCAGCCGGCCGCTCGGAGCGGCGGGAGGCGCCGGGACCCTCCCGGGCCGGGCCGGGAGCACCGCGGTGCCGGCTGCCGGCCGTGCCCCGCCGCCCGCTCCGCGTCCTCCCGGGCCCTCCGGCGCCGGCCGGGCCGCCCCCGCCGCCCTCGTCCCGGAGGCGGCGGCGGCCCCCCCGCGCCGGAGCGGCGGCCCGGCCCTCCTCGCCGCGCTCGGCTCGGCGCGCTGGCGAATCAGAGAGTGTCGGAATCTATTGCCTTTGTCTGACAAGTCATCCATCTCCGGGGAGGCGGGCGGGGGGCTGAGGGCGCTGCGGCTTTTAGAGAGACACACACCGGGAGAGGAGGCTCCAGTCTCCGGCCCCGGCTCCTCGCAAGCACTTCCCACCTCGGGCGAAAAGTCCGCCGGGCGCCCGGATCCTCCGCCCGGCCGAGACGAGGGGGGCGCGCCGGCCGCCGCCGCTCGCGGCTTTCCCGGGGATTGCTACTCCGCTTTGAACTTCCATCGGCTAGCCCCGGACCCGGGGAGGAAGAGGAGGAGGAGGAAGAGGAGGAGGAGGAGGAGGAGGGAGAGCCGCGTCCTCCCGCGCCTTCGGCCGCCTCGCCCCGGCCCCCCTCCCCGCCGCCGGGGATGCTCGGGCCCCCCCAGCCATGACAGCCGCCTGCCCCCCGGCGCCGCCAGCCCCCCGCTCCCTCGGACTCTGCTGACTCGGCCGCCCCGGCCCCCGGCGCAGCCCTCCCGGCCCGGAAAGTTCTTCGCTCCCCGCTCCCCGGGCAGGGGGGCAGCGCGCCCCGCCGCTCCCCTCTCTCCTCTCCCTCTGTGTCCTTTTTGGTTTGCTTTTTTTAAATTTGTTTTGGTTTGTTTCGTTTTTTTTCCCTCTTATTTTTTTTTCTCCCCTAAGTCTTGAAGTTGAGTTTTAGAGGCGACACGGCGGCTTCAGCCGATTTCTTCCCCTTCCTTTGCCTCCCCATGGATATGCACTGCAAGGCAGACCCCTTCTCAGCAATGCACCGTGAGTACTGGAGCCCGGCTCCTTCCGCCGCTCTGTCCTCCTCATCCCTCCATCCCTCCTTCCCCGGCCGTTCCTCCCCCCCGTTCCTCCTCCGGCTCCATCCCCGCACCGCCCGGGGGGCGACACCGGGCACCGGCACCCGGCGGAGGGCGTGGGGCCGGGCCCGGGCCCGGGCTGCGAGCGAGCCCCGAGCAGAGCCCGCAGGGGCAGTGCCCGAGCCGCCCCTCGGAGGACGAGACTTTGCCCCGGCTCCTGCCAGCTCCCGGCTCCGACCCTTTCGATTTCCCCGGCCCCGCGGGGCGAGGGCTTCCCGCAATCCTACGTGTGTGCGAGCTGACAATTTGCCCCGCCGCCGGCCGGGATTTGCTCTCGTTTCGGGTTTCGGCGGCGGAGAGGGGGGCCGGCACTTTCGGATGAACGGCGGGGTCGGTCCGGGCTGCCCCGGGCTCCGCTCCGGCCGGGCTCGCTTCAAGCCTGGACTGCGGGAAAAATAGGGCAGCGGCGGGGCCGGGAAATCGGGCGTTTTCCGAGCTCCCCGAGAAGTCACGGTCCCTCCCGGGTTATTTAGCAGCTCCTCGGCGTGCGTTTAAAATGCATTCCTGGCGCCCAGGGAAGTGGCTTCGTGATGTATTTTCACTTTAGAAAACCTTTCTTCCCAAAAAGGGGGACGAAGGAAGGCGAGAAGGCAGAGTAGCGGGGAATTTTCAGGGATTTTAATTTCACCGCACGGAGAGAAAATAATTCCGAGCTTTAAATTAAAGAGCACATAGGAATATAGAGCCGAGCCTGGGACCGTCTCGAGTCAGGAAATGAATAATTAAGAGCAATTTGTAACTTTTGACACCGAAACTTTTGAGGACACGCCCTGCCCGCTGCATAAAAACAAACCGAAAAGGTCTAAAATCGAAATGTTTGCGGTTTAAAAAATGACGATTTTGCCAGGAGAAAGAAGGCGCAGAGATAGAAAGCTACCATCAGATCCCCAAACGTGGATGTAGGTAACTGCCTTCCTGCTCGGAAATTAATGCTTTCCAGCACACACCGCTTAAAATTTAGGATTTAATTTTCGAGGACCTCTAACAGAAAACGGCCCCCGCGTTAGGCATTATTTTTAGTTCTCTCGGGCACGACCTTCCCTCGGAAGTGATGGCAGTAATTCTGCCTTCGGTACGCGCTGGAATATGCAGGCAGCCGAGAGAGGCATCTCGCCACCGAGACGCTCATTTCTGCAAACTCCACCGAGATTCGGGAACAATTTCGGCTTCCGAATAATCCTACTAATATTAATCAGCATTCGATTTGTTCCCCAAAATGCATTTCTAGCTGGGCAGACCTAGATATTGGCAAGCAATTAAAATACGCTCGGGCGCGGGCTCCCGGTGCAGGCGCGCACAGGCAGCAAACGCGATGGGTAGGAAAGCAGCTCGGCTGCTCGGGCAGATGCACACACACAGCCCGGCATCCCCACGAGGATAAATGCCCCAAAACATCCCCCTGCTCGTACGGAAATAACCTTAGGAAAAGACCGTGTGGAGCAAACCCAAATCTCGTGGAAAAAAAAAAATAGCCGGGGTGCGATAATTTAAATTATTAATTTTTAATCTTTTTTTGCATCTGTTGCCTTTTAATACTTTGTAATGCGAGTTATAAAAGGTGCTCTGAATTATTTATCGCGGAGTTGCCGAAGAAATTGCTGTCTTGTAACTTTAGAGGCAACATGTGCAGAGGGGGCTCTGCACAAACGAAGAAAACACAGAGCAACACGCACCCGCAGGTTTTGGTGGAGGAAGACAAGCGTGCCCCCTCCCCTCCGAAGCCCTAAATATCTTTTACGAATGAGCAACAAAAGAGAGCAGCGACACCTCAGCTCCTCGGGCAAGGGGAAGGGACGGGAGCCCCTGGCTCGGTGGCAGGGAGGTGGGGGTGATCCTGACCGGGGAGGGGGGAGATGGAAAAAACTCTATTTGTGCGAAAGGACTTGGATCGATCGCAGGGCAATGAGAGTTTCCACTAAGTTCAGAGCCAATAAGTCAGTGTCAAAAGCAGGGGAGGAAAAAAAATAGGAAAGAAAGAAAAAAAAAAAACCCTCAGCGAAAATACAAACAGATCATTTTTCAGCAAAGCGCGCGACGAACTAAGATCTCTCCGCGGGGAAGGAGGCTGGGGCTGTGCGAGAGGCCGGCTCGAAGGCGGCGTGCTCTGCACAGCTCTATCTCCGCCTGCCAGCCGCCGGGGAGAGGGCACCGAGCGAGCGGGGCCGCACCCGCAGCGATTCCCGCACCGGCAGCGGGCGGCGGCTCCGGTGCGCGGCGCCCAGCTCCGCCGGGCTTTCCCCCTGCCCGTACCCCGCAGGTGCGCGCTCGGTTCCTCCTCCTCCCCACCAAGTTGTTTCTCGAAAGGGAGAAGGGCGAATCGGATAAAAAGAGCCCAAGCAGTCCCGGGTGGGAGAGAGCGTTTTTTTTGTTGTTGTTGTGTTTTTTTTTTTTTTTTTTTTTTTGCCTGGGAACGGAGAAATAGAGGAAAGCAGAGCAATTTAAATTCGCCCTGATATAGATTTGCGCGGGGGGAAAAAAAAAAAAAGAGAGAGAGAGAGAGAAAGAATAAAAAAAAAATAGAAAAACAAACAAACAAACAAGGAGCCGCGAGACCCTGTTAAGATTTTTTTTTTCATTTTTTTTTTTCTACTGGCGGATTTTTCTTTTAAATACCGAAAGCTGACAGAGAGAGGGTCTGCCTGTAAACGAAGCCCGAGCGCGGGACACACGATATTTTCCTCCTCTCCCCTTCCATTTCTTCCTCCCTCTCCTTTTCCGTCCGAATCCACTCAACTCCCATCCCAAAATAACCAGAGACAAGGCGCTGTGGAGGGGACTTGCTGCGGGATGAGGGAGGGCGGGGTCGCGAGGAGCTGGAATTGACAATGTGCGAGAAAATCGCGGAAAGCGAACTCAAAGAGAGAGGAAAAGCGCAAGGGTAGAAAGCGGGGGGCTGCAGCGGGGGCTGCCCGGGGCCGCCGAGCAGCTGGGCTCCGGACCTGGGAGCGTTTCGCTTCCCACTCCTAGAGGAGCCGCAGCCGGCACCGGCTCCGTCCTCGCCCCGCGACAATGGCCTCGGGCAGCCGCCGCTGCGGGCAGAGGTGCGGGCGGCCGGGGGCAGGCGGGGCGCGGGGGGTCCCCAGCTGGCTCGGGGAAATTCACGCTTCTTCCCCCTCTGTGCCATCTCCACCGCCCTTAGTCATTTCTAATTCTTTCTTTCTTCATCTTATTCTCACCCCGTTTTTCTTCCTTCCTTTCTTCCTTTTTCTTTCTTCCTCTTCTTTCTTTCTTCTTTTTCTTTCTTTCTTTCTTTCTTTCTTTCTTTCTTTCTTTCTTTCTTTCTTTCTTTCTTTCTTTCTTTCTTTCTTTCTTTTCTTTCTTTCTTCTTCTTTCTTCTTTCTTCTTTTT